TCTATCTAACGAATCCCCCAGAGACCTGGGGATAGACCAAACCATCCAGTTTCTGTTGCCCTTGGAGTCTTGGACCCACCTGCACCCACTGGGAGAGAGCTTTGCACCCGTACCCACAAGCAGAGGAAGAGGACCCACCTGCACCCACTGGAAGAAGGGATGGGAAGACCACAGTATGAGAACACATTCAACAACAGAAATACTAATTTGACATCACCAGAATCTATGGATTCTCTACGAGCAAGATCTGAGCATCCAAACACAGATAAAGCAGAAGAGGATAACCTTAAAAACAACTTTATAAAGATGATAGTGACCCTCAAAGAGAAAGTGAGAAAGTCTGTTAAAGAAATGGAAGGTAAAAGCAAAGAAAAAGTAAAAGAAATTGAAAAGGCAAACCAAAAAATGCAAGAAATAAACAAATCTTTTAAAGAAAGCAAGGAAAGCCAAGAAAAAACTATCAGACAGGTGAAGGAAACAATTCAAACAGTTCAAGACTTGAAAACTGAAATAGAGACAATAAAGAAAACACAAACTGAGGGAATACTGGAAATAGAAAAGCTGAGTAAATGATTAGGAACTACAGAAGCAAGTGCAACCAACAGAATACAAGAGACAGAAGACAGAATCTCGGGTGTTGAAGATACACTAGAGCTAAATTCATCTTCATCAACTAAAGAAACTCTTAAGTCTAATAAATCCCTAACACAAAATACCCGGGAAATATGGGACACCGTATAAAGACCAAACCTAAGAATATCAGACATAGAAGAAGGCAAAGAAACCCCAACTCAAAGGTATAGAAAACATATTCATCAAAATCAAAGAATAAAACTTTCTCAACCTAAAGAAAGACATGCCTATGAAAGTACAAGAGCTTACAGAACACCAAATAGATTGGACCACAAAGAAAAGTCCCCTTGCCACATAATAATCAAAACATCACACATACAGAATAAAGAAAGAATATTAAGAGCAGCAAAGAAAAAAGGCCAAGTAACATATAAAGACAAACCTATCAGAATTACACCTGATTTTTTCATGGAAACTCTGAAAACCAGAAGGTCTTGGATAGATATTTTACAAACACTAAGAGACCACAGATACCAGCCCAGACTATTATGCCCAGCAAAGCTTTCAATCACTATCAAGATATTCCATAACAAAACCAGAGGATTCAGTAGAGGCAAAAGTTAAATGGTCTCTCTTGTGGCTGGATCCTTTACTTATGTGACTTTTCAGCATTTACTTCAATATCTGACTCCAGGTTTTTACTATTAAGATCTATTGGACCTCCTGAACCTGTGTAGAACCACAATGGGCAGAGGGGTGATACACCTCTAGGTCCCCAAGGTGTGGTAACAGGCTTGCATTTGCCTGGATAATAACAATATCAACTTCCTGGCTTTCCTGCAGACCGAGGCTTGTGGGCTTCTGCTTCTCCTCCTGTGAGTCCAGTGTGAGACACTGAAAGGGGAAGATGGGAACAAGGTGAGAGCTGCCAACCTCTGCAAAGTCAGAGACTGAGAAGGCAGGAGGGCTTGCCCTATATTACATATTTATTTATTTGTTTGTTTGCTTGCTTATTTATTTTGAGAAAGGGTCACAGTATATTATACTGATTGTCCTAAAATTCACTTCACAACCAGTATGGCCTGAAGCCCAGAACAGTCCTTCTACCTAGGTGGCTGAGATTATAGAAGTGTACAGCTATCCTCTGACCTGGGAAAGCAGGGACCAAGTCCTTTCATTGCTGTTTTAAACCAATAGATCATCACTGATGCTTTTTGCAGTGTCTTCTCTAAACACTAGGGGGGCAGGAGAGAAATGAGACTGTTATCCAGGTTCTATAGCTTAGTAAAGAATAGAGCCCCTGTTTTAAGCAAAGATGATATGTGACTGGTACTTCCAGGGGAGTCAGGGGGACATTACTGAGCTCCTGTGGGAAACACACCCCTGTGGGTATGCATTTCTAGGATGTACAGGACAGTTCACAGAGGGGTTTTTAGACACTAAGTAGCTCATTGAAAAGCTTTGTTGTCAAATGATTTCTTTGCAATCAAATTTACCTCTTACCAGCATAACTTGGTAAATTTGTAAAAGAGGAGATAAGCAACAACGCACACTTCAAGTATGAGAATAATTCTTCCATTGGAAAATTTAGCTCAGGATTCTTTATGTCTCAGACCTCGGCTCCCTGCAATCGCTTGACTGCTTTCTAACTGGTTAAACGCTATGTCATATGGGCTCCAACTTCTCCTTCTCATTCAGGGGAGACACTTAGGGGGACAGAGGGATTCTTGCACTGAACTGGTTGCCAAGCCTGCTGTGCAGCCTGTATCCAGAATGTGGAGAGGTGTCAGGTTTGATGACACAGAGACCAGTCGGTTGTGTTAAGAAAACTTTATGCTCCCCAAGAAGGCTCAAGAGAACTTCCCAAGAAACTCTTCCCTCCAGAAAAGCTTCTGCCACACACTTTTTCTCCTCCTGGCTGGTGGTTATATCCCTGACACCAGAGTTGGGAACAGCAGCAGGGGGCAGGAAGAGGTGGCTAGCCATCAGAAAGATCAAAGTCAGGGTGTTTCAGTGAGCAAGCCCTTATTGGGAACTTATAACTCTGGTAAACATTTCTTAGGGCACTGGATTGTTTTCAGTAAACATTGTCTCACAGCTGCCTGCTCCCAGGCTGATGGGGAAATGGGCCTCTGGCCAAGGTCTGTTGTTCCCACACTGGTAGATTCTGCAGATATGATCCTGAGACTACAGAGAGGGAGTAACTCACAGACATGCCAGAAGACAGTGTAGGAAGTGTGTGTCTCCAAATTCCCTCAGCAGGGCCTGTGGAATGACTCAGCAGCTAAGGGTGACTGCCTCCAAGCTGGTGGCCAGAGTTCAACCCCAGAACCCACATTGCAGAAGGAGAGAACTGACTGAAAATGCTCCTACCAAAGCCCACAGAATACATAGCCTCCTCCCAAGCAAAATATCAGACACAGGAGGAGGCCACACATACTAAGGAATTAGGCCAGTAGTAGGTGATCTGAACTGTGCTGGACCTGAAGGTCAGGAGATAAAGGAGCAGGTGGGTGTGTTTCCCTTAGTGCTTTTGTAGCTGTAGCTGCTCCTGGACTTTTTGATAATAATGATGATGATGATGATGATGATGATGATGATGATGATGATGATGATGATGATAATAATACATTCATGCTGCAAGATATCTGTGAGTCTGTCACCCACTAGGACAGAAGAGTGCTCTAGCACAGTTATCAGGGAATACAGAAGTTCCTAGAGCCCCACATGCCTCAGTTGACCATAGTGGTCCCTGAGTTCCCATCATCATGCCCCTACCCTGGAGTAAGGGCAGGTTGGATTCCAGAGCATGTGTGCTCTGGGCTTATCAGCAACTCTTGGGATCTTATCAGAAGTTTAGCCAGAATGACTTCATGTCCAGGGTATGTGTGCAACACTTACATTCTTCTAGTGTACACCCTGTTAACCTCCTCCTGGACCTCTACAGTCTGTTAGTGTAAACTTTGTTGACCTATTCCTGAGTCTCCCTCGTCAGATAAACTGAACTCACCTTACCTGTGACTTCTACTGTGGGTCACCAGGTTCTGGGAGATAACCAGAGTTCTCATGCAGGAAGATCTGTCAGAATCATTCATGGCTGCTGTTTGGAGTATTCCTGGGGTCAGAGTTGGTGACAACTATAAGAGAGATGGAGTGTGCCTGTCCTCTTCTGTCTCATCCTGACCTGTATCATCCACAGAACAGCAAAGCGGCAGGGGCTTACAGATGAAGACCAGGATTACTTAGCAGGAATGTATTAGCTGCATGTTTGTGACACAACTGTAAACCGGAACCCGAGAAGCTGAGATAGCAGGTCAGTCTGTACTGCACACGATACTCTGTGAATATGTTTGACTGAGCGGTGTGTTCTAGAAGTGGGATGGGAGCATCAGAAGGTTCAGAAGATGGGCATCCTATCCCTGTCTCCCTGGGAACTTGTCTGTGGTGATATCTTTTTGTACTCTAACAATAAAGCTTGCCAGAAGATCAGAGGGATGGAGGAGCAAGCCATAGCCACACCTTAACTTGCTAAGTTCCCAGCCAAAAAGCCACTGAGCTCCTGTCTCCTCCAGCCTATATTCCTCTCTCTGTCCAGACAGCTCACTTTCTGTCTCACTGTACAGATATCCAGACCTCTATGATTAGCTCACAGCTTTTCAGCTGGGAAGTTAGCAAGATAAGTTGTGACTGTGGCTTGCTTCTTTGTTTCTGATTTTTCAGCATTTTCTCCTATTTCTGCCTCTGGGCTTTTATTATTAAGACCTATTAGAATTCATGCTACACCTTTACATGTAAGCAAGGCTATTTCTAACTTTCAGAGATTGCCATAAACTCTTTGGCTCCTTGTGACTCATTAATTCTTCTTTATTTCCTTTTTATTCAATAATTCTACTTCACTTCCCATGTTATTAATTTATATTGTGAGTTTATTGCTGTTCTAACACTTTTTATAGGCCCTCTATTAAACATTTCTCTTGTAACATATTCCATTATACCAAGGTGACAAATGGTGCTCAATCTGCCTCAGTGATTCCCTAAAGCATTTTCTTGCTATCATTAAAGGGCTCTATCCTCCATCTTTTAGACCCTGATGATCCCAGTCACCTACAGATGACAAACCTGTGCCATCCTAGGACACTGCTTTTTTAAATATATTTTTATCATTTTTGGTTTAAAACAATCTTTTCTCATTTTACACATCAATCCCAGTTCCCATGCCCTTCCCTCCTCCTGCTCTCCCCACCCCCCATCCACCCCTCATCCACTCCTCAGAGTACTGCATCTGTGAACCATGTCCAGAAATCATGAGAAGAACTAAGTGTAAGTCGACCTGCACAGAGAAAAAGCATTTGATAATATAATAGGCAGTCCAGTTTACTTTGGCCTGGGTATGGGCCTCCTGGCATGTGTGTTGATATCACTAGGTAATGGTATGGATCCATGGTGGTGCACTGGTTGCAGAAATGGCTTCCGTGACTGATGGATCCAAACTGGCAGCTACTGAGAATATAGTAATTGTTGCTATCCAGTATCGCTTGGGTGTTCTTGGCTTCTTCAGGTAATTATTGGTCTCTAACGGACAATGGATTAGAAGTAGAACATGGACAGATCTGTAATTTCTATTCCTGCCACTTCACAGCCAGAGGCAACTGGGGCTACTTGGACCATGTGGCTGCTCTACAGTGGGTCCAGCAGAATGTTGCCTACTTCAGAGGTAACCCTGGCCGGGTCACTATTTTTGGAGTGTCAGCAGGAGGAACAAGTATGTCTTCACTTGTTGTGTCCCCCATGTCCAAAGGACTCTTCCATGGAGCCATTATGCAGAGTGGAGTGGCCCTGCTGCCTGACCTAATCTCTGAGAAGTCTGAGGTGGTCTACACAGTGAATGTCCTCAACAGCATCAGACCCTACTTTGATGCTTCAATCCTTGCTTCTGGTACTTTGCTAACCCATGAAGCAGAGAAAACAAGGATCGTGAGATATAGCATCTTTCCATATAATTTCTGAAATGCATAAAATTTAGGATCCCCATCCCTCTGTCTTATGTATGCTGAGTATGGTATATAGCAGAAAAACTGTGTCCAATGGCTACCACCATTAGCCAAACTCATACACATAGTTTTCCAGTGATAAAGATCATGACCAGAAGCTACTTATGGAGGCAAAGGTTGACTTCAGGTTCCTGTTTATACTCCATCTTGAAGGTAGGTCAGAGTAAGCACTCAGGAAGGTCTCTGGAGACCAGAACTCAAGCAGAGGCCAAGGAGGAACACTTTTTACTGAATTGTTATTGGTGGATTCTTTGGTTTGCTTTCTTATACAGTAATGTGTAGTCAGCCACTTGGGTCCCGCTGCTATCTCAGCCCCCAAATAACACATGAGACACTATATTAATTATGAAGCTGTTGGCTGTTTGCTTTGATTTCTTATCAGCTAGCTCTGACTTAATTATTAACCCATAACTGTTAATCTAAGTATTTCCACGTAATCTTCTCTTACCGGAGAAAGGGTCCAGACGTCTCACTTCTCCCATTTCCTGCATGGTGACTCTGTGCCTCTGTTTCCCAGAATCCTCCTCGACTCCTAGTCCCACCTATCTTGCTTCCCTATTGGCCAACAGTGCTTTATTCATTAGCCAAAGAGAGACATATGCACAGAAGGACTTCCCCATCATCATACATCCCAGGACACTTGCACATGGGTTGCATTACCCACCATGCAGGACTTGTCTATGAGTCAATCTGATAGTGGCATTTTCTCAGTTGAGTCCCCTCTATCAAGATCACCCTGGCTTGTGTCAGATTGGCAAAAAAATCTAATCAGAACTCATGAGTTGAGGGAAAGAATCAGCTGGTATACATGCTTTCTGTGCAAGTGTGAGGTCCCAAGTTCATATCCCCAGACCCCTTATAAGGCTAGAGGTGGTAATGTGTGTTCAATAAGCCCAGTGCACATACTGTGAGATGGGAAGTAGAGACAGTAGAATCCTTGGAAGTTCATAGTCCAGTTAAGCTGGTATAGACAAACATGGGGTAAGAAAACAGTAAAATCAGGGGGTATTCTCTAACCTTCATGGGCAAAATATGATACGCCATACCTATTGTCACATATTAACACCACACACACACACACACACACACACACACACACACACATCAATAAAAACAACAGTAAGAAAACAAATACACAAATAGAATGGTCCCTTTCCCGGCTGTAACCTCTGAGCCACAAAAACATGTGAAGAGTTCCATGTAAAGTCCTTTCATACACAACAAACAGTAGGATGTGATATTTAGAGGCAATGACATCTTAGAATCAAGGAAACTGTGCTCCCTGCTGGGAGGGGTGAGCCAACTGGTGACTTTTTTGTTTATAGACAGTGGCCAAACTATCAGGATGTGAGGCCAAGGACTCAGAAGCCCTGGTACACTGTCTACAAGACAAGACTGAAGAAGAGATTCTGGCTATCAACCAGGTTGGGAGAATTGTGTGCTTGTTGGACTTGATCAACAGGATGATGTGGGATTGTCAGTACTTACTATTGGAACTAGTAAATGGTTTAGTGTCCTTTTAGTACTGTGTGCAGAAATAACAAGCTAAGCTAATTTTGATATCCAGGTTCTTCTGCAGTTAGCATAGCATCCTGAGATAAGGTAGGAAATGGGAAAACAGTGTGGATATGCAGTGGGTATCACAATATTTATGTGATTGGTCTTCAGCATTGACACTTAATGCCCCATAGGTCTTCACTATGATCCCTGCTGTGGTGGATGGGACGTTCCTACCTGGGTACCCTCTGGATCTATTGGCCTCTGTGGATTTTCACCCTGTCCCCAGCATCACTGGTGTAGACAGTGATGAGTATGGCTGGGGAGTCCCCTTGGTAAGACCTAGTTCTAAGTCTCTGGGAGTCTAAACTCAAAGGTTGGGTAGTGGGAACTCAGAAATACTTTGATCTAGATCCAACCCAGCCTATAAATTTTTTAAGACTGTCCTCTACTTCCCAGTTCATGGGCCTTGATCATGTCATAAAGAACATAACCAGAGAGACCCTGCCAGCTTTTCTGAAGAGCAGAGCAGCACACATGGTAAGAGATTTGAATCCCATTCTAACAGAAAGGGTTCCCATATATTCTTCTTAGACAGCATGCTCAGAAATAAAAGGCTATGTATGTGTGGGTTTCTGTATGGGCTCACCCAAAGCTTGTACATTTCCCCCTATACTTTGTCTCACCCCTGGCCATATTCTTTACTAGGATGTCTCTGCCTAACTATCCAAGGGCCTACCCTATATCACTCTTCCTGCTCTCCTTGGTGTAGACTCCTGAATGTGGTGATCTGGTAATGGAAGAATACATGGAGGACAATGAGGATCCCCATACCCTCCAAGCACAGTTCAGGGACATGATGGAGGACTTCATGTTTGCTATCCCTACACTCCAAGTAGCAAATTTTCAGTGTGAGTATATCTTTAATAAGACAAACAGGGTGGGAATCTTGTAGATTTGAGTCCTAGATGAGCACTGTAGTGTTCAGACCTGATCCATGTCTTCATCAGGTCTCCTGAGGACCTGAGGACACTTTTCTCAGTAAATACTTATATCTAGTGTAAAAAAAAAGTGTCAGGTTATGCAGGTTCACAAGGAAAAACATGTTAGTTACAATTTGTATCCTGTCAAAATGAGTCATCTGGGAATGCCAGGGTTACTGTTTAAGAAAAGGATTTCCATAGTCAGTTCTCCAGCCTGGACTTTACCACTCAACTGTGATTCTTGATAATTTTAGAGCTATGTTTTTTGTAACCAAGGGTTAAGGGGAAAAAGTCCATATGAGAGAAAATAATGTCAACATGTGTCCTCATTCCTAGGTTCCCATGCTCCTATCTACTTCTATGAGTTCCAGCACTAGACAAGCTACATCAAGCCTGTCAGGCCATCACACGTGAGGGCTGACCATGGTGATCACCTTCCCTTTGTCTTTGGCTCCTACCTTTGGGGCAAGAAACGTGAGTCCTTTGTTTTCCTTGGGGCTGATTGGAGCCCCAAATGAGATCCTGAGGGATTACTGAGCTCTCAGTCCAGTTGAAAAAGCCAACATTCTCAGCGGTGGGATCAAGTGTTCACCACTTCTAAGTTTAAAAAAAAAATCCAAAAACCCAAACAAGACTGCAAAAACAACCAGGGTTAGAATATAAACATTTCCTAGTTTAGACTGTACTAGAAGGAATGAGAGCACACTGGGGTAGGAGTGAACCACACAGAATTCATGTAGTCTTGGATGGACACTGGCTGAGGAAGAGAGTTCACACTAGGCCTAGGGTTCAGATTCAGGCTGTGGTTGCTATAGTATAGTTTGAGTTGCACCTGCATGAGGTGGGTAGGACTTGGACCCTTGTCTCCTTCTGTCTGCAGTTGAATTCACTGAGGCGAAGCTGCTGAATAGGAGGATGATGAAGTACTGGGTCAACTTTGCAAGACATGGGTGAGAACACACCCTCACCCTCCTATGCTTTTGTCTCCATCCAGGGCTCCCATGTGCATGCACCTCATTAGCATTCATGGTCCTTAATTGCACCATAGTCTTCTCCAAACTAGGGCACACTTAGACAGATATCTTCTAGCTTTTTTTAAAAGGTTCATTTTATTTTTATTTGTGTAAGTCTGTGTCATGAGTGCAGGTGCCTGTGGAGTCCAGGAGTTAGGTTCCCCAGGAGCTGGAGCTACAGGAGACTGAACCTCTTGACCTGGCCACTAGGAACTGAACTTGGGTCCTGTGAAACAGCATTGCACACTTTTAGTTACCGAACCATCTCTCCAGCTCTAGAATACAGTTTTTGTTTTTTAACTCTTTTTTTATTACTTTAATTTTAAATAGCTTGTTTCACATGTCAATCCCAGTTCCCTCTCCCGCCCGTCCTCCTGCATCCTCCCCATTATCCCCCCCCCCCAGCCTCCCACACTATCCCCACTTCCTTCCACATAGGGGATATCCAGAGTCTGTCATTTCACTCATGGCAGGGTCCAGGTACTCCACTAAGTGTCCAGGCTGAGAGAGCATCCTCCTTTGTGTTATGGACACACGAAGTCCATTTGTAAGCCAGAGATAAACACTGATCTACTGCCCAGGGCCCCATAGATTGCCCAGGCCTCCTCACTGACTCTCACACTCAGGGGGTGTGGATCAGTCCCATGCTGGCATCCAAGCTGTCAGTCTTAGGTCCAAGAGTTCCTCCTTGTTCAGATCAGCTGTCTCTGCTGGTTTCACCAGCCAATTCTTTGCCAATTTGCTCATCGCTCCTCTCTCTCTGTCACTGAATTCCATGGATTCAGTTCAGTGTTGAACTGTGGGTGTTTGCCTTTGCTTCCATCAGTCAATGGATGAAGGTTTTAGGATGGCATATAGGGTAGACATAAGGTACATTATCAGGAAAGGGCATTTAAGGTGGTCTCTCCACTATTGCTTAGCTTGCCAGTTGGTGTCATCCCTTTAGATCACTAGAGGTCTCACTGGTGCCAAATCTGTCTTCTAACCTATGACTCCCTCTATTACGGTGTTTCTTATCCTGTTCTCCCCCTATTCTACCCACACACAACCTTCCTTGTCTTGTTCCTGATTTTAGAAGTATTGTGTTGAGTGTCTCTCCATTTAGTTTGATGTTAGCTGTTGGTTTACTGTATATTACTTTTATTATGTTCAGGTATATTCCTGTTATCCCTGATCTCTCTAGGATCTTAATCATGGAGGGGTGCTGGATTTTGTCAAAGGCTTTTTCAGCATCTAGGGAGATGATCATGTGGTTTTTCTTTTGCAGTTTCTTTATATGGAGGATTACACTGATAGATTTTCTAATGTTGAACCATCCCTGCATTCCTGGGATGAAGCCTACTTGATCATAGTGGATGAGTTTTCTGATTTGTTCTTGAAATCAATACGCTAGTATTGATTATTTCTACATTGATGTTCATGAGGGAAATTGGTCTATAGTTCTCTTTCTTAGTTGTGTCTTTGTGTAGTTTGGGTACAAAAGTAATTATAGCCTCCTAAAAAGAGTTTGGCAGTGAGCCTCCCACTTCTATTGTGTGGAATATTTTGAGGAGTATTGGAATTAGCCCTTCTTTGAATTTCTGGTAGAATTCTGCACTGAAGCCATCTGAGCCTAGGCTCTTTTTGGTTGGGAGACTTTTGATGACTGCTTCTATTTCATTAAGTGTTATAGGTCTGTTCAGATTGTTTATCTATTCTTGATTGAGTTTTGGCAAGTGATATCTATCCAGGATATTATTATTCTTTACAGAGTCCCATATTTCCTGGATATTTTGTGTTAGGGATTTTTTGGTTTTGAGATTTTCTTTGGTTGATGACTGTGTATCCTCTAATGAGTCTTCAACACCTGAGATTTTCTCTTCTATCTTTTGAATTCTATTGGTAATACTTGCATTTGTAGTTCTTGATCATTTAGCTTTCAATCCTTCAACTCTTTGAGTTGTTTCCTTCATTTGTTTGGTTGTTTTTTCCTAGTACTCTTTAGATCTTTGAGAGATTTGTTTATTTCTTGAATTTTTTGGTTCACTTTTTCCTCCATTTCATGTATTTTGTTTGTTTTTCCTTCTATTTCTTTTAGGGATTTCCTCGTTTTCTCTTTGTGGGTCTCTATCATCTTCATAAAATGAATTTTAAGATCTGTCTCTTCTGCTTCTTCTATGTAGTGCTTTTCAGATATTTCTGGCATTAGGTCTCTAGATTCTGGTGGAGTCATGTTGGTCTTTCTATTCCTGAGTGGGCTCTTATTCTGTCTTCTTCTCATCTCTTCTTCCAGTGGGTGCAGGTGGAGTCTTTCTGTCTCCACTGGTCTCTCTCTTTTTTTCCTGAAGCTGAAGCTGGGGATGCTGGAGGGTGGTGTCTGAAGCTGGAGACGCCAGGGGGTGGGGTCTGGAAGGACTCATGCCTTTCCTGTGTGGGCCGGTTCTATGGCTGCTGGGAGCAGCCCTGGAAGATTGAGGGGGTGGGTGATGGGCGGGGGCAGGGTGATTCCTGGAGGACCCAAGCTTACCTGAAGCTGTGGACGCCGGAGCACTGTCTAGCTTTTAATTACAACTCATCCCACAGAAATCTGATGGGTGAGTTTCAACATTGTGATACTGTTCTTTAGAATTTTCCCTCTGAGAGGGAGACACAATACCAGACATCTTCTCTTGTTTCGTATGGAGCAGACTCTAGTGAGTGGCCCCTGAATTCCACATCAGTACACCAATCCATCTGTCCCTTGATGCCCTTGGCCTGCTCATCTATTACTCTGACACAAATCAAAGGATCAGCATAACCTCACCCTTCCCTGTTGGTGTCATATCCACAGGAACCCCAACAGTGAAGGTCTACCATACTGGCCTGAGATGGTCCATGATGAGCAGTACCTGCATCTGGACATCCAGCCTACTGTGAGCAGAGCCCTGAAAGCCAGAAGGCTGCAGTTCTGGACAAAGACTCTGCCCCAGAAGATCCAGGAGCTAAAGGGGGCTCAGGACAAGCACACAGAGCTTTAATGCCCTGAGACAAGAAAGGTTGTGGGGTTGAGGGCAGATGAGGACATCCTGAGGTTACAAAATACATATATTTATCTTTGCTTATTCCAGCATTCACATAATTATTTTTAACCTCAGGATTTAGCTTTCAATCGTGTATTGCCAACCCTGTGTGTTACTCCTTATCCTTCTGGACACATTTTATAAAAATCAATAAACACTCTCCTACATTTTTGGATGTGTGAGCCCTAAAGTTTCCCAGTCTCATTTAATGTTTCCCTGGATTATGCTTCCTTCCTTCCTTCCTTCCTTCCATCATCTTCCCATATTCTCTCCTCTTTCCCAAGCCTCAGATCCTCTTCAAATGAAGCAGAAGCTTCAGGAACTGTTGACTGCAGGGAATCCCACGTCCTCTCTCAGCACGTTCAGATTTTCTCATATATCTAAGATGCCAAAAGAAAATCTGATTTCCTCAAGCTGTATTGCCTTCATAAGTTAACAATGTTGTTCCCAACAGATAGTAAACTACAAACTGGACTCTTAGTGTCCATGTGTTTGGAGGCTGAAACAGGAAGATTACATAAGCCCAGAGCAAGATAACAAGACCCACACCTCTGTAACAAAACAAAAACCATAACCTCAGTAACTTACAAACAGTAACAAATGAACAGTTTTGTAGTTTGACAAATCCAGGGTCCAGACACCCTCATGTTTACAGTGTGTGAGAAACAGGTCTCTAGCTGGAGTTGGGAAGGATTACATCTTGTGCCCTCTGCTGGTAGAAAGTGTGAATATCAAGGACATTAGGTCCCTGAAGACTTGAACTAAGCAGGGAAGATTTTCCTGTTACTGAGACTGACCATGCACATTTTTTTCATTATATGTGTAAGCATTTATTGACATTACTACTGATAGCTTGTATGTGTTTTATTTTATATACACACTAAACTTCTGACAGGGAGCCAGAATGTGTTCTAGACTTTTAATAATTATCTCATTTTTAGTAGCTAGAGTGTGGATAGTTTTTATTTGGTGAAGAATTCATCTTAGGGCTTGTGCATGAGAACTATACCCTTCAGAATACTGTGGATTGTATAAATACAATTAAATTAATCTCTTTTAGATGTGTGGTTTAGTAAGTCTGAGAAAATTCTCAAGGCATGCAACAGCCAACACATCAGTTTCAGAACAGCCTCACTCCCCCACCAAAGGCTTTTTTCCTACCCCTTTGCTATCATTCACTACCTGTGACCCTGTTTCAAGGCAACAAGGATATTACTTGATCTTGCTATATTGGGGCTTGTCTCCAATGCAATATAAGTATTATATTTTGTGACTGGTGATGTCACTTTACATAGCGTTTTTGTTTCCTTTATTGTGGTATGCCATCTAAGTGTGCACATGAAGCATTCTATCCACATACCCAATCTATGTGTTGCTGATTCACTTGATTATTTGCTCCTCTGTTTTGGACAAGGTCTCTATATAGCCCAACTTGGCCCTGACCTCATTATCACACTGCTCAGCATCCTGAATGGTTGAATTTAGGTACTGGTCTCCAAAACCAGGTTTGTTTTTTTAAATAAAGTTCTATTAAATTTCTCACATATTATTTCATGTGATCATAGTATTCAGATTTTGTATTTAAAATCTAGAGCAAAATTGCTAAGCCATGAGACACATGTTAAACATGTGTCAAGTTTTAGGAATGTGCCCAGGAGTGGTGTAGGTGGATCTTGAGGGAGATCAATTCCCATCATCCCCAGCAGCTGTCCCATTCATTTCCACAGTGGCTGTACTAGTTTGCACTACCACCAGCACTCTTGTTGATGCAAAGGAAATAGGAGGCTCTCCAACTGAAGTCTGGCAATCTGGCAAGAATGTGTTCATACAAAATCCTGAGGGTGTTCAGGCAATGAAGGGTTGCCGGGGCCCAGAAGCCTCATCCCTTCCTCAGCATCACTAGGTGGGTGATGGATAATGGGAAGGTAAAGGACATTTCCTTCAATGATATTGCTACCAGCAAACCACCCATACTCCTGTAAATAAACCATTACTGAATTACGATAACCAAACATATTAGATGATCAACAACTACTAAAAAGGCAATAAAGTAGGAAAGGGACTAGTTGATGGCAGACAGGAGAAAGGGACAAGTGAGAGTAATAGGGGAATAAAAAAGAACAAATACCTCATTCACATTTGTGAAAATGTCATGATGAAACCCGTTATTTTGTATCATTAGTATATACTAAGAGAAAACACGGTATGGACTCCAACATAATAATGTCAGCTGTGAAGACTATTTAAATCAAGGCAACATTCCTTTTGTAGAGATGTTTTCATGTTATAGTAAGAACTTGCATCGTGGCTCAAGCCTAAGAGTGCTCAGCTTCACTCCTCTGCCAGGTCTAATGCTACAAGGCTCTGGGAACCTCACAGGGAAGACGGGAATCTTGTTTACAGTACCACATCCCTGGTGGGCTTCTATCCAGGGCACACCAGCAACTCAACGCAGAGAAGAGGTTTCTTGGCATGTAATTCCAGAAGCCTCCAAAATCAGATGTGTGGCTACTGCAAAGAGAAGACTCCATGCTTGAGAGTGTCCTGTACTCTCCTGGATGCATCTCTTCAATGCTATGCTGCAAACATGCACACATCTGTTCTTTCAAATGCCAGCTCTGAAAGAAGTGGACTGCTGATGAGAGGAAACTCTTGGATCTGTTGGACTGTGGAAAATCACCACAGATCTCTAGGGATGCAGCTCTCCTGAGACATCAGTCAGCCTCGGTAGCTCTTGAGGTTTCCATGTTCCTGTGAGTAACCTCTCACCCAGACCCTACACCCCAATAAACTCATTGGTCACGCAAGAAATAAAAGAGAATGTCAGCTCTGCTTCATAGAAATAAAAAACCAAAAAGTGGATAATTGTGTGCATGTACCTTTGGTTTTCACATTTTGTTCGTAATCTGACCCCGTCTTTGGCTGAGCTATTCTACCCTTAGACTGAGGAAACATCATTCCAATAATTGCCAATTTAGGAAAAGCTGCTCTTGGTGAATGAAACATCATGGTTGTGTCAGGCTCCAAGTACAGCAATTTCTCCAAGTTTTGTCTAATGCTATACTAATGTCAGGCATAGCTGGTTGATTCAGTGAACTTCATAGTCAGAGAATCCATGTGGCAAGAATTCCCATGCAGGCAGCAAGTCACTGAGAGCAGAGGGTGATCTGCCAGCCTTGGAAAGATGTTTAGCAAAATCCTCTGATGAGTGTATATGCTGCTGCTCTGGCCTCATGGACATCACTTGGCACAAGAGATGCTGGTCTGTGTGGATCAGATGGGGGAAGGCATCTCAGAAACACCAGGCTGATTTGAAGCTTAGGTCTGTCATATTCTACAGTGTCAAAACATGATGCTCTATGAGGTGAGGGGCCAGGGAGGTGAGAGCTTGTGGAGGTGACAAACCCAGACGAGGAAGAAGGGCTTCGCTGGACACCTCCCTGCACCTTTATGCATGCAAAGGATCAGAGTTACCTAAGGAGTGCATGGCGTCCAAGGCAACCCCAGTCTGAGACAGAGAAGATTCAGCATTCTCCTGATGTCCATCGTCAGCTTCACTCAAATCAGAACTTGCACAGCCTAGGTTTATTAGGATCATCAGATGAAAATGGTGAGTCGTGCATGTTCTTCCCTGGACACTAAAGGGTAGACAAGCATACAGCACAGCCTGCCTCAAGTGCTGGGGGAGGGAATAGTGCAGGAAGGTGGCGAGCTGATGCTTCCACTGCAATCCTAAGGCATTATGGAGCTCCTCCTACAAACACATCTCTGTGTGCTTAGCGGGCCTACAGAACACCTTAGAATTCCAATAGCCATATCATTTTTAAGAGCTTCATTAGTAAATGAGCTATATATGACAAACCCATCAATTTATCTTCACACCTTTCTTATTTTGAACAAATGGAGTACATTGTAACCATGTCCATTTCAAGTGTGAGGATGTTTCTCTCGCTCATAACACTACCATCCCCTCCCTTTACATTGGCTACTGTCCTGAGCCATGTTTTCTGACAAGCAGACACCTGCTTTCTGGTCCTGGGGTTTAGAAAAGGAACATAATTTAGAAATTTTAAATCTCTGCGTATATTGTCATGGAAATGGTATTTTCTGTGGCACAATTGTGCTTGACATGTCATGTTGCCTATGTCCCAAGGACTCTTCCGATATGCCATCAGGTGAAGTAGAGAAACTCTGGTGTCTATTCTCATCTCCGTTTTCCCTGGGATTGACTACAGTGAGTGCCATCTCACCCTGTCCTGACCCACTGTCTGTCTGTTCATTTTGTGAGCTCCTGGCTCTGTCTGCAGCGTGAGGATATGAAGGACCATACGAATGCCTAGGGAAGTGCCATGTCCCAGGGAATTGCTGAGCATCTCAAAGGACACATTAATACCCCTCTGACTCTCACAGGTTTAGTGTTCTCTTTGGCCAACAAATTGTACTTAATGGTCCCCATTTCTTTATAATCATGTGAAGATGTAGAGCAGCACCTATCAGGGCTTTTCTTTTCAGCATGGAGAAGTGGGAACAGTTTCATACTAGCCACAATGTACCCAGGGTACCCTATAGTATTTTCAGGACACACACTCTCTGTTGGGGATGCTGAAATTTTTCTTTTTTCTTAATGGAAGAATGAACCAGTCCTTCCCCACCTAATTCTTGTACAGTTACTGTCCAAGATGTCTTGGTGTTGCAGCTGAAAAGCCATTGTAGGGTTAGAACTCAAGCTCCTCCCACTCCAGCCTGTCCTTCTTCCTCCTGTACACACCCCATGTGAGCACAGTACAAGAATCCAGGCAAAGAGAAGAGCCCTTCCTTTAAGTAAAGATGATGCGTGACTGGTACTTCCAAGGGAGCCTGGAGGCATTACTGAGCTTCTGCTATAAACACATCTCTGTGGGGTTTGCATTTCTGAGGATGTACAGGACAGTTCACCAAGGGAATTTTATAAACTTTGTAGCTCTCTTACCATTAGAAAGCTTTGTTGTCAGATGATTTCTTTGCATTCAAATTTACCTTTTATCAGCATAACTTGGTAAATTTGCATAAGAGTAGGAGATAAGCAACAGCCCACACTTCAAGTATGAGAATAATTGTTCATTTGGAAAATTTAGCTCGTGATCCTTTATGTCTCTGGCCTCTACTCCCTACAATCACTTGACTGCTTTCTGATGGAACGGTTTG